AAAAAAAAAAAAAAAAAAAACAAACAGGAAACCTAACACCTGCCACTCAGGATTATTGAGGAGTAAAAGGAAATTGGCAGATGAGGCTTTTACCCTTTTCTTCAGGTGGGCACTGAGACAAAGAACAGTGTTGCAGCACTTCTAAGGGTTGGGGGGCAGCTAGTGCATAGGTGAGACTGGAAGTGGGATCACCAGAAGGGTCCAACCAAATCTTGCCCCTTTTCTCCATGGTAACCAGGACAATAGTTCTGCCACAGGCACCAGGATCATGGGAGCAGGAACATATGATGTCTCCCCATGCCAGGGGAGAAGAGGTGAGCCCCAGAATGCTCACATGGCAAGGACACACTTTATTTATATGTGTACATATGTATACAGGAAGCTGTACAGTGCAAGGCCAATGGTGCCCTCAGCTATGGGCCTGGGGGTGCAGGGCTGGATGCCCCTTTTTTGGTGAGGTCTGTTGGGGGCACAGCTTCAGCAGGGCACCGGGAGGTCAGCCCCACTTCAGGCTTGATGCCAGGGACCAGGAGGGAAGCCGGTGGTGCTGGAGTCGCTGTGCTGCTTGGTGCACTCTTCACGGGTAGGGAGGGGGTCTGGGTGTCTGGGGAGAGTTTGGGGTAGGCCAGCTTGGAGCGAGGCCCACTCAGCGTGGTCCGCTCCTCCACCACCTCCAGCACCCAGCGCTCTCGGCCCCGCGGAAGCTCAGGCATGGGAGGTGCCAGAGGTGTGGATTCCTGCAACCCCTTGGAGTCTGCTTCCAGAAGCTGGGGCGCCTCAGCCTTAGAACCGGGCCGCGCGGGCTCTACGACAATGGGTACCGGGGGCGTGCCCACCTCGCCGGAGCTGCTGCGCCGGCCCGTCTCGTGTTCCTGCACGGGGCTCAGTGCGGCCTTGCCCACAGCCCTGGCCACACCACCCGAGCCATCTTCCGTCTGCACACTCTGATGACGAGTGCAGCCGGCGTCCCACTCCAGGGTCCGGCCCCCGGGGATCGCTGCGCGGGGCAGAGTGCAGACCTCGGCGCCCCCGGGGGACTCCTTTTCCCTGCTTGTTGCTAGCGGCCTGGGGGATCCTTCGGGCAGCTGTGGGTCCCCACCCAGGCTCAGGGGCGACTCCTGGCGGCCCAAGCGGCGGACGGAGACCTGCCTGGTCGCACCAGGGCCCTCGACTGGGGGTGTCTCGCCATCGGACTCGGCGAGGCTATGTAGCGCCAGTTCGCCATGAAAGTCCTTGCGGAAATCCGGGTGGCCCACCTCGAGACTGTGTTTGCGCAGTGTGCCCTTCTTGTCTGCACCCAACGAGGCTCCCAGTTTCTCTGCCGACTGCACACGCTTGAGGAGTGGCGAGCGCGGGGGCTCGGCACTCTTGGGACGCGGGCGAACGACGGGCGGCGATGAGTGCAGTTTGGCAGGGAAACTCTGCGTTGTGTGCGAGCTGCCCACCGTGTGTCCCGGCAGTGGCGGCGGCGACGCCTGCGTTGGGGATGGCGTGTGTGCCAGCGGCGACAGCGGAATGTTGCCAGCCGACTTGCAGCGTGCTGAGCGGTACTGGCGGTGGAGCTTTGGCGACAGGCCGTGCAGCGTGCTGGGCCGGATGTGGTGCGATGCCGACGATGCCGGCGAGTTGGGCGTGCTGGAGGCTGGGGAGCTGCTCTGAGACGAGGCGCCTGTGGGCGAGAGACGTAGCGGGCAGTGAATACTGTCCAGGCACCAGAGGGACCACCTAGTGGGCTCAGGCACAGGGCATACCTAGGTAGGCGGAGTCAGGCGTGGAGCGGTAGCTGTGCGTGGGCGAGCGCGCCGGCAACCCGTGCGTGGGCGAGCCCGGGAGACTGTCGCTGGACGACAGCGAGCGGTTCAGCGACGACAGCGAGCGACTAGTGTGCAGCAGGTTCGACTGCTTTGTGATTTTCCGGAATAGGGAGCTGCGCTTCTTGCTAAGGAACAGGAAGGACCCACCTAGCCTTAACCCCTGAGCTCCTGGCTCCTCCCCCTGAAGAGCTTCACCCAGCCGCCTGTAACCCAACCACCTCTCTTGCCTCGCCCCCCAGCTATAATTCACCTATCAAAACACAGAACTTCCCCTAACACAGTGCTGTTTGGCTCCCCTCACTTAGGATCCCGTCCGCCTTTTTCCGGCCGTTCCCAGTCCAAGCTAGAAACAAAACCAAGTTCTTCGGCCTACGCCCGCCTCTCTAGCTCCTCCTTCTCCCTCTACAGCCAACCTATCCGTATGGCAAGAAGTTGACTTGACTCAGACCGGTTTTGGCTCTTCTCATTCCCTGAAATTCTATCCCTAGCTCCTTGTCTGGACCAAAGAACGCTCTTCTGGCTCCACCCACCTCTCTCCTAGCTCCTATCTATAAGGAAAAAAATTATTTTAGTCGTCACAGTCTTGCCTAGTATTCTCATTCCAGATAGAAATCTCTTAACCTAACCCCTCCAACTCCAGTCTAAACACATCTAATAGGACAGAACCGTCTCCTGGGCCATCACTTAGACTCGTCCTTCTCTGAATTGTGCCCTTTCCAGTTTACATCCTCTGACCCTATTCACCTTCCCAAGACCCTCCTACAATGTTTTTCTTCCAGCCTAGAAACCTGGCACAACTTCCTTTCCTGGCTCTTCCCATTTTCCCTGTACCTCTTAACTTATGTACCTCTTTTTTTTTTTTTGCTCTTCCCTGAGTGGTTCCAGCTATCCTTCTATGCACTTCATTTCTCCCAGTCCTCACCTGCGGCCCCTCTAGCATCAGCCCCGCCCACTGCTCAGACTAGCTACTTATAGCTCCACCCACCTCTCCTGGCCCTCCTTGGCAGAGGGCCTCTTGTTTCTCCGAGCCATTTTGGCCTTGTAGCTGCTGCGTCTTGCGGGGCCAATGCGGATAGAGGTATTTTCAAAGGGTGTCGTGGTCACGGCCACCTTGTTGCCACTCTAGAGCAATAATGGAGGAGAAGTGCCCTGCTGCCGGCTGCTCAGACCTACCCTCCCTCCACCCAGTGCACCACCCCTGCACTCACTTTAAGGATCAGCTCCACGACCTCAGGATGCACCATACCATGCACAGGCTCCCCATTCACGTGGGTGATGAGATCCCCAGCACAGAGCCCTGCCTCTTGGGCTGGGCCCCCTTCCTCCACATGCTAGGGACAGAGCACCACACAGGGTCAGGGTTAATGGAATTGGAAACAAAGAAGACTTCTAAACTTATCTGCTAGACACTTAGCTCTGCATGCCCTATAATCCTCATAACACCATATGAAATAGTAATTATTCTCCTGATTTTGCAGATGAAGAAACTGAGTCACAGAGAGCGAAGTAACAGATGAGGTCACAGAAGAATCTCACCCAGACTACTTGGCTCCAGAGATTGAAAAGTCCACCATCTCTAGGGGGCTGGCTTCTCTCCTCTTAGCCCCCACCCTTGGATACAGATCCCAAACATGAGTGCTTACCCAGACAATGTGGTGAACACTGTAGACATCTGAGTCACCCATGTAGACACGGATGGCTCGTAGTGTAAAACCATACTTCTTGCCTGAGCGTTGGATAGTGATGGGAGAGCGGAGCCCACTGACAGCTGGTGAGTAGTCCCGGCTGGGGGATGAGTCCCGTGAAGATGGATTGGAGGAGAGAGATCGTGGAGACATGGGGCTGGCAAGGGGTGAACTTCCATGTGGGTCCACTGCAGACACAGAGCAATGATCAAAGATCAGAGCCAAGACATAGATCTCCCTGTATTTGCTCCTCCCTCCTCCCAAGTCAAAGTCCCAGAGCAGCATCTCATTGGTCCATCCTGGAGCCAATCACTGTGGACAGGGAAAATGTAGCATTTTCATTAGTCTGTCTAGGCTGGAATGAGTATAGCCCTCCCATAGCAGGTGGTGCCCAGCATTACCTGCAGGAATCATGACAGACAAAGCAGTGGCCGAGGCTGACTTGATGACTTTGCCTCCAGTACGGGAAGGCCTTTTCTCTACCACAGGGTCACCTGACAACTGCTGGTGTCGTGCACGGCGCAGAACTAGGTCATTGGTGGCCCTAGGTCCTGATGGGTCCCCATCTTTCAAGGGTGGACAGAGGTCACCTGGGCGTGGGCGGTCAGCTGCAACAGAAAGCAGGCTGTTTGGGGATCAATCCAGGGCTAGGGACTTCTCGTATGCTGTTCCTTCTTCCCGGAATGCACTTCCCATTTTTTTCCCCTTGCTGGATCATGAGTGTTATTAGAACAGGTAACATGCATCCAGCACTACTCCTGATCCAGAGAAGTTGTATCACTGACTAAGCAGGGCAGTGGGGGTGTTTCTATGTTAAGAATCTCAGATTGCAGAGAGAATAGTACTTGAGATCTTGTCTAAATAGTACCAGGCTGTGGAATGCTCAATGTACAGTCAC